CGGAGTGCACCGGAGCCCTAAATAAGAAGGCTGCGGCAATTCTTTTATGTAACTGAATAACAATTTCCGTAGAAATTTTAACTCGAAAATTTTATTTTTAGCAATAAAATTATATTAAAAATCGCTTATGACATTTTAATTTGTCGCTTTACAATTATTTTAGTTTTAATTATTTCAATAAATAATAATTAATTATCTAATAATTATCAATTAAATTATAATGAATTATATATAATTGTTAATTGAATAAAATCTATAAACTTTAATTAAATAGCTATTAATTAATTTGATTATAATTAACTGTTTAATTTTAAAATTATTAATGAGTTTAATAGTCATTTAATTTATTTATTTTACTTTTATTGCTCTTTGCTGGCGGTCTTCCATAGGGCTCCGGCACTTATAATTTTAAAATTTAAGCCCTGCAGCGGAGTGAACTATCAACACGATGACCGCTACTTTGGCTTCCCTTGAAAATGCAGCATAGAGAGAGACAGTGATTCTGGTGCACCAAACGACAAAGCTGGATAAAAGAATGTCACAATGTTGTCTTTTCAGACATGTCCCTGTTCAGCGTGTGATATTCTGATGGCCGTATATGTGTCTGGAGGCAGCGAGGAGACTGCACGTCGTATGCCATACATATCTTTTTGCAATAAATATCTTTTTTGTATTTGCTTTTCTTCACAGTGTTGCTATTTTAATGGCCAACAGTGTACTACTGAAGTGTTCCTAACTGAAACATGTTTCGTTGAAAACTGCGTCTCGCCTAGCTAGCGAGATAATTTTATACTTAAACGAAAATGTTTCGTTTGAAGCACTGTTTCTCGTTTGATTTCTCCAAAGAAACCGGTTTTCGCATAAGTCAACTGATCAAACAAAGATTATATATTCGACGTTGTATGCATAGACGTTCTTTCTGCACCTTCCCACGCATTGACTGTATTCTCAAATTGCACATTAATTCTTCTAACACTACATTTCCTGAATGTTTACGCCAGCCCAGAAATTTTACGAGTCATTCATTTTAAGTAATATAGTCTGCTTCTTATTCGATCTATTATTTTTCTTCCAGTCTTTTTTAAATTGCTAATTCTTCATCGATTTAATACATAGCACTGTTGATTTATGTCATAGTGAATGAACTTCATTGCGTTTTTCTGTGATTACATTTCGCTTATTTTGTGACATTGCATCCCCTTTTTTTTTTTTACCAGAAACAATGAACTGTTTGTGTTTTCTGAACTATTAATGCTAGATAATTCATTGCTATGCAGCAACTTGATCAATATGGTTCAGAAGAACCGACTCACTTGTGCCAAGATTCGAACTTCAAATAAGCTATTTTTTTACTGTTATGCTTAAGTACATTAAGGACACTTGAAATCTGTCAGTCCAAAAGTGCTCTGATGTGGATGATAGAAAGCAAACAAAAGGTGTAAACCACAGGAATCTGTCTTTTCGGGTTTTATGTATCGAATCTAAGAAATAATTACCTATACTGCTGCAACATAAACACCACAAGTAACAGGTATAAAGTTGCACTATTATGAATATTCAAGATCTTTCCGCACATGTAAAGACTCAGAATAAGTTAACACCACACTTATTGATATGTATAATGTATAATATAAGCAAATGATAATCTCCTTTTCATCGAGTTAGAATGTCATACAATAAACAGTCCATGTTTAAAAGCATCTAGCTAATTTCCTGGTCTTAATCCCATATCAAGTAGAGTTATACCTGACTTACGCAACTTGAAGTTACATGTTTTTTTAAATCATTTTTTTAAACTCCAATATATGCATACAACCAATGATTGCATAAGAACTCTGATGGACAAGTGGTATAAGCAATGTACTAACTTACATTTCACAAAAATTTAGACCAGATTTTATGACAGCAATGTAACTAAGAATGCTTTAGATGTATGGAAAAAATTTAATGTTGTAAAGGGCAAAATTATTTTGTTTCCCAGTTGCTTAATGATTTCACTCCTATATATATATACATATGCCAGTATTGGGCTCAAACACTACTCCTGCATGAGTAATGTCTACATGGAGAGTAGGTCAAACACTACTCCTGCATGTATATTTAGTTTATTAAATGAAAACTTTAGTTATTTTCCCTTTTTTTTTTAAGTGTATTATGTAAATATAAATAATATATATATATTCAGAAACAGGTTTGAAACATATTCACATAGATATTAGATTTTTTTTATATGTACATATACAGTATTCTTTATTAGTTCAAAACTGAACTTCACAATATCATCTTCTAAGACACAGGTTCCCAAACTTTTCCATGTCTAGCAGTTCTAAAAAATTATATTCTTGCAGCCCCTAACAAAGTTTCTAGGGAGGGTGAGGAAAAAGAAAACAGTTATGTAATCAAATTTTAATAATAAACAAAAATAAAACATGGAACTAAAAAAAATATTACAAAATTTAATATTTGCATAAATTTTTTCAAAACAATAATTAATAACTATTTCTATTCCTCTGTATTGGATATTTTTTTTCAAATTGTGGCACTTTATTGTTAATAGCAATTCGCATATCTGCTTGAGCATCCAAGCGATTTCTGAATTTTGTTTTGATTGACAAAAGAGCATACTTCACAAAGAATTCCTTCACATGCAGAAAGGCATCTTTTTCTTTTGTGATTGTTTTCATGTCTTCACAGAACAAGACATCTTCCATTATAGCAACACTATGCTGTAGCACCCAGACAGGATAGTAGTTAATGACGCTGCCTACCATACCAAAAGGTTCGAGTTCAAATCCCAAAGAAGGCATGGATGTTGTAATGTAAGTGTGTAATGGTTGTTTAGCAAGGAGCATTAAAAGCAGAAGGTGAGGCGAAATCCTTGAGAGGTTGGTGGTAGGAGACTTTCTGACCACATTCAGAGCATTCTTCTTCAAAATTCCATTTTGGTGGAAGCTTAGTACTTAGCAAGGCCCAGCAATACCTACCCACTTAGATATACAGGTGCTGGTTTTCCTTCAATCTGTCAGGTACTAAAACAAGCTTATTTTTGTTGCCCATCAGTTATTATGAAGGGACAAACAAACATAAGTTTGATTTAGGTAATTCTGATTATAGATGCTAAAATATACATTATGAACATAAACTCTTTAGAACAAAACAATTTCAATAAATATCTATTTGATTTGAATATATTCAAACATCATATATACTAATGTTTTCAGATTTTTTACCATACCATGTTTACAAGAGAAGGATTCGGGAGACAATTACAAATTATTATTATTTTACAAATCTCTGAAAGCTTTTTATCAGTTTCAAAATTATTTGAATTTACTTAAAAAGTCATATTTTCATCCTTTAACTGAGATGCTCACACGTATGTATTCTGACTCAACACAAATTCAAACATTAAAATAAAAATTAACACCAGAAACATATATTATAAAATTTAATTCAATCTAATACATTATTACTAGATGTAAATTAAAGCGTATAAAATTCTAAAATACATATGCAAAATCTGATGTGCACATCACATTACTTATTAAATTATACAAAAACTGCAGATTTTGAAATTTAAAACACTGCTCAGTCTTTGTCACATGGGAGTCAAACTTCTCATAATTTCATTTTTTATAATGAGTATAAAAATGTCCCAGATATTTTTGCAGACATAAGGAAGCTGGAGATCGCATTAAAATAGATTTCGTTATTCGTCAAAAATAATTTTAAAAAAAAAGTTTTACATTGATAAAACACAACTATTTTCATCATTTAAAGCATTTCAATGATAATTGGGAGTATAGACTAGGGCCAATGATTGTGAAAATTAAGGCTAGGTAAAGGTGTGTGTGTGTATATATACACATTTGGTTCTGGCAATTACAATAAAAAGAGAGATGCACAACTATAGCAGTCCCATATACAACAAACATTCTACGGCTAATCTTTTTTAGTTATGTGAGATAAATACATATGTATGTACAGAAATCATTGAAAAAATTCCTTTTGGAAAAGAAGTCGTTTATTCTGTGCATATATGCAGATGTTATGCAAAATTATGCATGACTGTATGCATGATAACTCTTATGACAATGCATAAATCGGCAGAGATTTTAAATAAAACTATTAATTTTTTGGGAATCTGACACAGGAGCCCCCCCCCCAAAAAAATTTTTTTTAGACAGCAATGTTCAAAAGTAGAGTTTTATTTAAATTTTCTGTTAAAGGTTGTTCTCAAATTTTGTATTTTCTTAATACAATATTTTGATTTACGGTATAAAATGGGTTTATAACCAGAACATTTTAAAGTTTTTAGTCATTCTCAGTTTTACTTGGGACAACAAATTAACAAATGATATTAAAAAAAAAAATGTTATTGTAACTTTTTTAAGTTTATTTTTTAACAGTTTTAAGATATTAATATATATTTATTTGGTTTAATAAAAATATACAGTTTAATTTAAATATTACAAAAGCCTGATGAACAAAACTGAATTAAGAGTATTAATGAACTATTAAAGCAACAGATTAATAACATATTTAATTTTATAGCATACTTCATTTAAAATCTTTCCTAAAGCAGTTTTGAATAATGAGAATAAATATGGCACTAGTTTCAATTCACTAAGCATCATCAATTTAAAATTTTTTTCTCTCACAGTTTTCCTCAAAGCAGCTCTTTTACATAATAGGAATAATTATGCCTACGAACCTATTGGCCTTTCTATACATCTAACTTTTAATTTTTCTATTTTAAAACGGTCAACTTTGTGGTAAACTTCCGACTCGTATTCACGACGCGAAAGCAAAGAAATGGCGAAAGACCTAATATTAATAATACGACTACGAACAAAGACAGATTGAACAAAAGCTTGGCTACTTTTGAACAATGCACTTGCTCTAAAATTTATTCTGGTAACCTTACATTGCATCTGCGATTTCGAAAGGCATCATGGGAAAAAGTACACATTTTTCGGTAAACTTCCGGTATCAGGGACTCAGTTATCTGTAAAATTCCGACACCCATTGATAACGATGCCAAATTTGGCTGAGTTATCTATCATGTGCAAAATGCTAGTGTCATGGGTGTAGTGGATTTCGTAAATGTTCAACTTTTCCGTGTTTCTGAGCTCAAGGATGTTTTGAGACAGAGGATGACAAAGGTATTATAAAACCTGTGGAAGCAATGGCTTCTAGTGTTATGGACACGATAATTAAGCTCAATAATCAAAGTTCCGGCCGTGATAAGATATTTCGGTATATATTATATTCTCACACTTTACTTTTGTTTTCAGAATGGAATAATTTTCCCTTTTGAATTTGTGTTCTTTGTCTAAATTTCTTCATTTTGTATTTTAGGCTTGTTCAGTATAGTAGCAGATTAATATGGGCGAGCCTAGAAAATAAGAATTCAGATAAAGAATTAATAAATCAGTTGAAAAATTTGGAGTATTCTCTCAGTACAGGGAGAAAATGTAGGTATTTTAAATGCATGAAATAAATATACAGCTATATATTAGTGTGTGTTAAACGAGAAATTCTTCTGTTATTTACTTTTAAACTTTTCAAGTAGAATCTAAGGAAAGGTTTTACCCAGGTTAATAAATTAAGTTCTTTATTGTTTTCATATAGGTAACTAAAATACGTTATTTATATTGTTGTAGGCTTATTGTAAATATTATGTAATGCAGAAACATATATTATCTCTAAATGCATTTGTAGTTTTTGCATGTTATGTAAAATTTTACCCTTAATTTGATGTTTTTCTGTTGGCAAAATGAGTTTGTTCACCTCTATTGATGATAACAGTGAAAATTTCTTGTGCAAAATTCTTTGAGTAAAGAATCGAACATCCTTGCCATCTACTTATTTTTATAAGGTGGAGCAGCAAAAAACATTTTGATGCATTCATCTAATCATGACATTTAAAGAAAAGACAGTTTAAGTGTAAGAAACTCATTGGCAATCAAAATTCAAGTTTGGCTTAGTCCTAGTATCCGATGCACACGGGATTTGGCTACTTTTGGCGGCTTTATGATGAGCAGTAAAAACGCGACATGTACGATGAGCAGTAAACAGGTCATTCAAAGAATATATATGGTTATACATAGTATATACTATATATATAGTGTATATACTATGTTATATACACACATAGTATATAGTGTATGGTATATATATAGACGTTCTTTGGATCATTTTTGGTGTTGGCGATAATTTTCAAAATCGCGCCAAGGCTGCACCGTATACTAGGATTTTACCCAAATAAAATCAATGTGATGATCCTTATTTTACTAGTAAAACTGTCTATTAAGTCTAAAAGGTACTATTCCATTAGAGCGACATCAGTTAAAAATGCGCCACTTTTTTTGGCCACCAATTGTTGCCAAGTGTAAAATTATAAATTAATAATCCAGTTCAAAAGACCCACAAAAAAAAAAAAAAACTTGTAAAAAGTATATTTTTTGGTTAATTTCATAGTTCTTAAATAAAGTAAATTTTTCTTTTTGTTTTTTAATGTAGAATATTCTACATATAAATAAAAAATAACAAAACATTGAAATTTAATCTAAACAGGTGGCATAAAGAATATTCTATACATAAATAAAAAATAACAAAAAAAGGGGAAATTCAATCTAAACAGTTGGCATAATATTGCAAATATCCTTCAAAATTATAAAAAAAATTTCACTTTTGAAATATAACTGATGCCACATAAATTCTATCAAATATGGTGATGAGCAGTGCCTCGTTGACCTTTATTTCTGCATTTAGCACTGCCTCACGACCGTTCCATAGTTAGGGTATGGCATCCGGCTCCAAGTCTACTAAATTTTAATTCAGAGGGAAATGTTTATAAGCAACATTTCTTAATTCCTCTTTCTTATATCCATTTCAACACTCTGAAAATATAATGCTGCCATCCGCAGTGTTTTCCTGAATTGCTGTCATCAGTGTTGTAGCACAATGATTGGGAAAGACGACCAGAAAAAATCTGTGCTTTCCCGCCATAAACCCCCAAATACCTATTATTTCAGAAGAGCACATTCAATATTGTTTTTTCTTTTTGTGAAAAGACTTTGCTCTGTTTCTATGATTGTGATGGCTCCACTGATTTTATTTTTTTTACAAGACATCAATGTATTTGCACATACCTCCCTCAAGTAGTTATTCCAGTCTACTGTCATATTATATTATGGCTGATTTCTAACTGAAGTTGGCAAAATTCAATCAACATCAATTCTTGACACCACAGATAAATAAAACAAATAGCATTGAGGAAAGATAAACACCAGTCTTCAAATCATGTTTTGGTTCTCAATCTTTTTTTTTTTTTAATAGCAAGAATGTACCATATAGGAGCTTTGTTTGAATCAGAAGTTAACTTCATCAAATGATTTTGAGAACAAAATCAATTGCTATGAATTATTCCTTTTGTCCTGAAGGAATCTTATGGCAGCCTCTTCATCATTAGGTAATTTCATAATTTTGTATTCCATTGTACTAAAAAAAAATGGTGAAATATGACAAAAAAATAACTTGTGATGATATTTCAAACGAAAACTGGAAATCTCTAGCCACAATGTTTCAAGTGTTAAATTCTTGATCCTTGATATTGGGCGTGCTCTTGTAGCATTGTTTTCTTCTCATTTCATCTTCATTTTTAACTGACGCCGCTCTAACAGAAAAGTACCGTCTAAAAAGATTTATGTCACATCTCATTTACAAATTTTATATTTTATAATTATTTTTTTGAAGTCCTCAAGTTTGTAAAAATCTGCAAATTTACTGCGATAATAAATTCATAATTTATCCTGACCTGGTTTTGTATTCGCCTTCCTCTTCCCCCTCCCTCAGTCATTTGAGTATAACTTTAAAAACATTTTTTATGTGCATAAAATATGTATAGTAAATAAATTGTAGAAGCTATTTTGCTGTTTTCTGGTTATCTGCCCCCTCCCTCCCCCAAGTTTAAAATATGATAGAATTATTGCATTTTCAGATAAGCATATGCTGATGGCTGAACTATGCCTGATTTTATTACACATGTGTTTCAGTGCACAATTTAGAGTTTTGTATTTAATCATCATTTTTCTGATCAGTGTTCACTAGCTGTAAAAAATGTTTATTCTTATTAATGTTCTTCTGAGTAGCTAACATCACCATTTTCATTCCTCTCAATAATCCCGAAGTCAACCTGAAACTAGTACTACTACTGTAAGAAACATGCCATAACTACTTATTTTTGCATTTTTAAACTCATAAACTTTTCTGCTTCTAATGTCATTTAAATTAAATGCCACATCATTCAATTTTAAATGACATGTTAATAGTGATACATCTCAAAATAGTACAACACACAAATATCTATAAATTAAAAACAAGAATAATGGCATAATGCCAAAAGTTGCATGCGGAAATGTATAAGATCATTACCTTCAATCATGAAGAGTGTCACAACTGGTAAAATGTCTGTATTCCAGGAAAAAGTGAAATATATATTGTAACCTCACTGTAGCAAATCAGATGTGACACTATTTTCAGTTGGAGGAAATCAAAATGACTGCCTACGAGAATGACACTTAGGCGACCTAGTGTTAGTTTTGCAACTACATAAATGTCACTATTGCAGATGTGCAAAGAAAACATTTCTGGTTTTTGAGTTAGGGATTAACTCAAATTCATGCATTTTTGATTCGTGACATTAGTGTAGCTGGGGTGCGATATACCTGCAACGTTTTTCAAAAAAGATCAAGGCATTAAGGTTCTGTTGAGTAATTCACCATTAAGAAAACTTTAAGGTACAAAGAAAAATAAATATTTACTTGCATAAAATGTAGGTTTTTTTATGCTGTTTGATTTTTGCTAGTTAAAAAATGGAAATTAAAATGTATTTAGAAATATGGATAATATTTTAAGAAACTAAATGTAGTATGATAAAATTGTGTAAAGCAATGGAACAATAATAAAACTGTAGACAATTGTATGTATGCATATTATTCTAAATTAAAATGTAGATAATATAGTTTTCTCATTTATGTATGTTTTCTGCATGGCCCATTGAAAGATGTATTAAGCATGCTTAAGGCATTTTCTCTTTTAATGCAGAATGCAGTTTTTAAAGGCTTTGTGATGAATACTGGGTGAGAAAGTATTCTTTTGATAGAAATGCTATTCAAATAAATAAAATCAAATTTTTTTAAAAAATTATGTGAATAAACGTGCTTAAGTTATATAATGTGAATGAATAAATATAAATTTTTAAAATAACTATTTGAAGAGCTATAACACAAATATACAACTCAAATACTTAAAATAAAATTCTAAAAAGAAAAAAATGTGTTACTTGTTTCCGATCGCGCAGCATGAAACGGAAAGTGAAATAGGTTGCTGTAAGCTGAGAAGTTAGTCAGAATTATTCTTGGCGCAAAGTAAAAGTGCAGCTAAGTAAATTTCTGAATTATTGCTTTAATGTCACTTTAAATTTTACAAAATTTGTTTTTAGGCATAATTGGCAATATGGAAAATGTTTGCATGTTATTTTAGGAAAAGTCCAATTTTATGTCAAAATACTTATGTTAGAACAATGCTATATATAAATCTAATATATGTTTTAAGTAATGCTTTCAATACTTGAAAAAGAAGCTGAATTTAGTAAGTTTGCTGAGTAGAACAAGCTATGTAAAATTGTCCCCCCTCTCCCACTTTTTAGGACCGAAGTACATCAATCCAGTCAGTTTATTTTCATGATGTTTAGCTCCTTTTTTGTTGAGCTTTTTTTAAAAAGAACAAGAATGGGTATGGATTGTAGGATTTGGCAGTAGCAGAATAAAGAACTCAAGATTAAATTCTGAGGTATCCAATCATAGTGAAACATTTTCTTCTGAAAACCACAAAATGAAATTTGTTTTACTATTATTAAAGTATCAAAATGGTACTGCAACAAAATATTTATTTATTTGACAAACATTATTAACCTATTCAAAAAAAAAAAAAAAAAAAAAAAATTAGCAATTTAAAATACACATTTCTGTAGTTAAATAAGGATTATATGACATATTTCCGGTTGCACTATTGTTGTTCTTTCCCAGGTACACAGTGACACACTAAACCAAAATATTAAAGAATTATATAAACTCAACACTGTGCATTGGCCATAATCATGCTCGCCCAAGAACAGTTGAAACTTCAGCATAATGAATACAGAAAATGGATTCTGTTTTCACTACTTAAAGCAGCATGTAAGCAAGAGTGAGATGTCCCATAATTCTGCTGATTCAAGTTATCAAAAAAATAAGGTTGCCAGAATAATGTTGTTAAGTGCTTATGGGTTGAATGCACACAGAACTGTTGATAGCTTGATAAAATTTACTCCCCCCCCCGCCCCCCCCCAAAAAAAACACTTTACAGCTTTGGAACTTTTTACAAAAGTACTCGTTCAGCTGTTCTCAATATGGAGGGCACAATCAGTATT